GGAGCCGGCGACTCCCGGGTCGCCCTGGCCGGGCTGGTGGCCGGCGCCAGGCGCCTGTGTGCGCGGCCCGGACTTCTAGTGCAGCCGCATCTCAAGGACGACCTGGGTTTCGCCTCTGTCCCCTCAAGCCGTTGCGCTTAGAAGCAGTGCCCCCGCGTGGCACGAGAGTCTGCGCCGGTCTCCCCCAAGTGCGCGGCTTGGATGCGGGGGGGCGAACCCCACCACCAGGAGGGACAAAGCAGTTCTCTTTGCATCCCCTCCGCGGCCTGAAGACCCCCCCGGGTCGATGCGTTTGTCAGTCTGGGACTGGGAGCTAAAGTTGAAACGCAACAATCCTATCCTCCCTCCAAATCCACCCCATCTCCCGGCAGAGCTAACTAATAAACAAAGCCTCGCGTTTTTATTTAGGTCTTTCTCAAAGGTTCCTGGGGCGTATTAAATGACTTGGTAGGACGTCTTCTGGGCCCTGAGTAATTGTGATGACATTTGGCAAAGTTAAGGATGTTGGAATTTTCAGTTTACCCTCAGCAGGGGTAGAAGGTGGGGGCTGGAATCTGCAGGAGTCCAAAGTTTAGTTCCAGTCCTCAAGAATGATCTATCTCTTTCTATGTCCCCTGCGTGGGGGATGGAGTAAGGAAGGAGGATGAGGAAGGAGAAGACGAAAGGAATACAGGTGCCCTTACCGGACATATGCTTTCCATGAACATTCAACCCAACAGGTAAGCGTTAAACTGGAGGGGGCTGGAGTGAAATAGAAACGAAGTTTAGAGACAGAAGAGTTCAGTCCTTTCTGCAGCGTTTTCGGGAGATTGGGTGGCAGATGTAGATTTAGATAGAATTTGAATAGGAGGCTTAGATTCGAGCATTGTGGGAGGAGAGGTTGAGGGAAAGTATCACAGACACAGAGGCTGGGATTAAATGGCTATGCCTGGGCTTGGAATAAAAGGAGTGGGTTAGGAGTGGTGAGAAATGGAGTCAGATGGATCCCTGGAGACAGAGGTTCTTAATAACAAGATTTATTGAGGTAGAGGGAGCCAGGTTTAGAGCAGAGACAGGACATGCTTACAGGGTTTCAGAAAGCCCATGTGTGTATGTGTGTGTGTGAGGGGGAGGGTTTGCTGGAAGAGAGAGCAAAGAAGTTGTTGCCCATTGCATTGAGAAATGAGAACCACAACCTGGTTGATGGAAGGAGGGGCGGGGAAGGCCACAAATGTGAAGAAGAAGGGAAGAGGTCAGAAGAGGGATGTCAGCAGGAAAGAATCCGTGGAGTCTGAAGGTATCTCCCTAGAAAAATTAACAAGCAGTAGCAGCAGGGCAAGCAGAACAGGTTTGGGAAGAAGACAGTGAGTTGAATGCTAGACTTGTTGAATGTGAGTTACTAGCCTGGAATACTAGCATCGATAGCAGGGTAAGCAATGGTCAGTCTGTCCATGCAGATTTGAGAGTCTATCAAGAGAAAAACCTCTGAGCCCACTAGAAATCTGTACTTTCTCATCTCCCTTACATCAGAATTCACTTGGTAGACTGATTTCTATTTTATGTCTTTACTTGTCTTGTTCCTGTAAATATATTAAAAATGAATAAGCTATCAGAAGTTTCTCCAGCAAATCATCATGTCCTGATAATTTCCTAACTGGATAGTCCTTTCCCAGATAAGCATTTAGGAAGAGATGGTAGAAGACTTTATTCTCAGTCCAGAAGTTTATTTGTGCCGGACACAGAGTCTGCTACTCTGATCAAGTTTCTATTGTCATAAAAGTGATGTTCTCCATAGTACATTTCAATGAGTATTTCACATACAGCATACATATGGGAATGTCAGAGCTCTCTTGGACACTGAAGCTAGAGAATAACCTCAGCTGTATCATTTCCTGACACTGCCATGCTAAAATTTGGAAACTTATGATGCAGGCAAGCCTTATTAGGTTGATGTGAAATACCTAAATAGGTATAAATGAGTAGCATGACCCCAGACAGGCACCTGACCCATGTACCAACTTACTGAGGGGAACTAGGTACATATTACACAATAGAGCAGCACATCACCAGGGTATCGTCTGTTGTTGCATATTTCCCTGGCATATTCCTTACCTTTTTTTTTTTTTTTTTTTTTTTTTTTTT